CCCCCAGGGCCTCACCTTCTCCTCCATCTCCCCCACTGCCTGCATTTGTCACCCTCGCCCCTCTTCTTCATCCCTCACCACCCCCTCCTCCTCTTCCTCCTCACCTCCACCACGGCCTCCTTCATCACCTCCAGGTTCTTGCGGGGCGGCTCCCCGGTCTCGTAGAAGGCCAAGCGCTCCTCCACCTGCTCCCGCAGCTTGTCCCCAAAGACACTGGTGGGGACCTCTGTGGGGAGGGCACAGGGGGGGCTCAGCACCCACCCTGCACCCCCAAACCCCCCCGAGTCCCCCCCCGAGTCCCCCCCTGCTCTGCTCAGCCCACAGGAGTCACCATTCACCGGGGTGAGATGCTGTTGACGAAAAATGTTCCCATCACGGCAGAGCGGCCCCGAGTGCCCTCCCCGTGCCCACCTGGGCACCGAGTGACAGCACCCACCCCGTCTGTGCCCCCCAGAGCCCCCCAGAGCCCCCAGACCCACCTGAGAAGCAGTCGATGCGCGAGGCGATGGTGCACTTGTTGGCCAGGTAGCGCGAGATGCGCCCCTTGTTCTTGGCGGCCGCGCGCCCGATGAAGGTGGAGTGGAAGATGAGGCCGTACTTGGGGGTGTTCCCCCTCGTCTTCAGCGCCCTGCGAGCACCCAGGGTGGGGTCAGGACCCCCAAATGCCACCCCCACCCCCAGACAGCCCCTCCCTGCCCCGGCAGTACCTGAACAGGGCCTTCTCAGCACCCAGGATCTGCACGGTCGACGCCGGGTACTTGGCCAGGTTGGTCAGGCTGCCAGCGTGCGAGATGAGGCGGGCGCCCACCTGGGGGACAGCACCGGGGGGTCACAGGTGGCCCTGAAGCCCCCCAAGGACACAGAGAGTCCCCACAGGCCGCGGATCAGCAGTGGAGGCGTCAGCAGCACAGCTCAGTGGATTGACAGATTCACTCTGACATCACCTCCGCGGCCGGGCGGGTGGCAGGGGACGCTCTGGGGACACTCTAGGGACACTCTGGGGACACTCACCACCTCCCCGATGAGGGCTGACAGGCTGGGGGCCACCTGGCTCATCTTGGAGCGCAGGTACTCCTGCAGCCCCTTGCGGTACTCGGACAGGGAGATGACGCGGCGCGAGAAGCTCTCGATGTTGATGAGGTCCAGGGGGGAGATGTCCATCCCTGGGGGTGGCACGGGGTGAGCGGCAGCACCGACCCCCCGGCCAAGCCCCCCTTGAGCCCCCCAGAGCCCCTCTCACCCATGGAGGAGCGGGAGGCCTCCAGGATGGCCTGGGCCTTGGCGCTGTCCATGACGATCTCCTCCAGCCCTTCCAGGCTCTCCTCGCTCAGCTCCCGCCGGTTCCCGATGAATTTGGCCACCCGGCAGTACATGGAGTTCTCGGGGACGATCTTGATCAGCTCGGGGAAGTGGTACCCGTACCACTCCCTGCAGGGACAGAAACGCTCACTGAGGCTGCCACCCCGGCTCTGGGTGTCCCCAGGCCACCCCACCGTGCTCCCAAATGTCCCCCCCGGGCCACGCCGTGGCCCTGGGGAGCTGCTGTCCCTCCCCGGTCTGTACAGGCGGCCGGAGCAGAGGCAGCCGCCTGTGGTAAGCATGGGGAGGGAACCTGGACCCCCAAACCCGTTAAACCCCCCAAAACCCATCCCCACCGACCGGACACGCATGGAGAAGGTGTTGATGTCCTTGTCCAGCTGGTCCAGCAGGCTGATGGACTGGATGATCATGTTGTCCACGCGGTTCACGTTGAACTTCACCTTGGCCCGGGAGTAGCTGTGGCCGAGCCCCAGCTGAGCCTTGGCCGCCGACTGCGCCGTGAGGCCGCGAACCAGCGCCGGGAAGTGCAGCCGGATCCCTGCGGGGACACGGCGTCACCACGGGGGGACACCTCCGAGCCACCGCACCGGGTCCTGCCCTCCCGGCCGAACCGGAGCCCACCGAGATGTCCCCGTGTCCCCACTCACCGCGCATCAGCTCGGCCACCACACCGCCGGTCTGGCACTGCACCCCCAGCTCCTCCTGCACGGCCGCGCCCATCTTGGCATCGCCCACCCCCAGCACCACCTTCTTCCTCTTGGGGGGCAGCGCCGTGTCCAGCAGCAGCCGCAGCTCCTCGTGCAGGACTCCTGCGGGACACCGGGAGCTCAGCGCGGCCCGGGGCTCCCCGCGGGGCTGGTCCCGGTTCCCCCGGAGCCGCGCTCACCCTCGGACACGGCGTTCATGTTCTCCAGCGCGCTCTGCGCCGAGCGGAACGGCGAGAACGCCACGAGCTTCACCATGTTGTGGAACTTGCCCAGCGTCAGGACGCTCTCCTCCACCTGCGGCGGCTCCGGTCACACCGGGAACGGGCAGCGGCCCCCAGCGATTCCCAGCCCGGTGCTTCCACCTCTGCCCGTGCCAGCCCCGGTGTGTCCCCTCCTCTCCCCACCCCGCGATCCGCGTTCTCCTTCTTCCCCCCGCCTCCCCCCGCGCTCCCGTTCCCCCCGGTGCCCGCTCCCGTTCTCCCCGGTGCCCGCTCCCGTTCCCCCCGGTGCCCGCTCCCGTTATCCCCGGTGCCCGCCGCCGCCGGTGCCGTACCTGCGGCAGCTGCAGGCCGATCTCCTCCACCTCCCGCACGGCGAACAGCGCGTACCCGGCCGCATGCTCGAACAGCACGTGCAGCAGCACCTGCGGCACCGGAGGCTCCGCTCACCGGGGGCGGCACCACGGCCGCGCTCCCGCCCATCCCCGCGTCCGCCGCCCCGGCTCGATGCGGCTCCCCCGGCCTCCCTCCGCTCCCGGCCCGGCCCGATGCGGTCGGAGGAGGCTCCTGAGCCGCTCCGCACGCCCGATGGCGGCGGATGCGGCGCGGGCCCGGCCCGCACTCACCATCGTCCTGCCGCCGCCGCCGCCGCCCGGAACTGACGCTCCGTCACCGCCGGAACCCCGCCACCTTCCTCCTCGACCAATCAGCGCCCACTGCGCCGCGCCCTCCACCAATCACCGCGGGCCGCCTTCGATGGACCCGCCCCGCGACCAATCAAGTAGAGGCGAGACTGGCCCCGCCCCCTCGGCGGCGCCTGCCAATCAGAGAGCGGAGGGGGCGTTCCCTTCCGCCTTTTCCTGCGCGCCGACCAATGGGAGCCGCTCGCGCGCAACAGGCCCCGCCCCTTTCCGCGCGGTTCGGTGCGCGCGCGGCCGCACGTGGCGGGAGCCGCCCCCCCCCCCCCCAAAATGTCCCCCTAATGTCCCCACGGTGCCACCCCGGGACCCCCGATGGCATCGCGGGGACACCCCAGGACCCCAAATGTCCCCGTGTCCCCTCCTGGGACCCTCAGTGCCCTCCAAGCGTCCCCCTGCCCCCATCCGGGACCCCCAAATGTCTCCCGGTGCCATCCCAGTGTCCCCGAATGTCGCCGTGGTTCCATCCCGGCGCTCTCTGTGACCCCCGGATCCTCAGTCCCCTCCCGGGACTCCCGCTGCCCCTCTCGGACCCCTCCTGTGACCCCCTCCCGGTGTCCTGCCAGTCCCTTTTCTGCTCCACCGTGTCCCACGCGAAGCCCCCGGTGTCGCTGCCGTGTCCCCGCAGTGTCCCCGCCCGGTGCCCGGTTCCAGGCGCAGGAGGCGCGTCCAGGGAACTTTTATTGGATGCCAGGAGCACGGGGGGGCCGCAGCCCCGGCCCCGCGGGGGTCCCGGGGGTGTCTGTAGTGTCCGAGAGCAGCGCGGGGAGCCCGAATCCCCCCGGGGGAAGTGGCTCCGGGTCCCACCCGCGAGTGGGACCGGCGTGGGGTGGGGGGACAGCGGGGCGGGGGTCCCTCGGGGGGCGGATCAGGCGACGAAGTGCTGGCGGAGGTGCTGGAGCAGGTCGGGGGTGAGCAGTACCCGGTGGGCCTGGCCGTGCCCCGGTGCGCACGGGATTGTCACACGCCCGCACAGCGCCGGGCCCTGCGCCTGCTCCTGCTTGGCCTGCGGGGACACGCCACGCTCGGAGCGGTCCCAGGGACCCCGGCAGGTTATGGGGTGCTGGGGTGGGGCAGGGGGTCCTCACTCGCCCCATCCCTCGGGAACGGGGGAGCCCGAGGGATTGGGGTTTGTCAGAACAAGGATCAGGAACAGGGGTCCCTTGGGGTGGATTGGGGCCCCTCAGGGATGGGAGTTTTGTGTGAGGGGGGTCCCTTGGGTACGGGGGATCCCCTGGAGATTGGGGTTCCTCGGGAGTGGGGTCCCTGGGAATGGGGGATTTTTGTGACAGGTGTCTCTTGGAATCAGGGTTCCCTCAAGATTGAGGGACGCCTTTGGGATTGGGGTTCCTCAAGACTGGGGTCCCTCAGGAACGGGGTTTTTTGTGACTGGTGTCTCTTGGAATCAGGGTTCCCTCAACACTGAGAGACCCCTTTGGGATTGGGGTCCCTCGGAATTGGGGGGCCCCCAGGAACAGGGTTTTTTGTGACTGGTATCTCTTGGAATCAGGGTTCCCTCAACACTGAGAGACCCCTTTGGGATTGGGGTCCCTAAGGACTGGGGCTCTCAGAGCTGGGGGTCCCTGGGGATGGGACCTGGTGGCTGCTGTGGGTCATGGGGTGCTGGGATGGAGCAGGGGGTCCTCACTCACCCCATCCCTCGGGAATGGGGGATCCCTTGGGATTGGAGTTTGTCAGAACGGGGGGGTCCCTCAAAACTGGGGATCAGGAACAGGGGTCCCTTGGGATGCACTGGGGTCCCTCAGGGATGGGACTTTCTGGTGATTGGGGTCCCTGGAGATTGGGGTTCCTCAAGACTGGGGTCCCTTGAAATTGGGGGGCCCTCAGGAACGGGTTTTTTGTGACTGGCGTCTCTTGGAATCAGGGTTCCCTCAAGATTGAGGGACACCTTTGGGACTGGGGTCCATCAAAACTGGGGATCAGGAACAGGGGTCCCTTGGGAGGCACTGGGGCCCCTCAGGGATGGGAGTTTCTGGTGATTGGGGTCCCTGGAAATTGGGGTTCCTCGAGACTGGGGTCCCTCAGGAACGGGGTTTTTGTGACCTTGGAATCAGGGTTCCCTCAAGATTGAGAGACCCCTTTGGGATTGGGGTCCCTCAGGATTGGGGCTCTCAGAGGTGGGGGTCCCTCGTTATGGGACCTGGTGGCTGCTGTGGGTCATGGGGTGCTGGGGTGGAACAGGGGGTCCTCACCCGCCCCATCCCTTGGGAATGGGGGACCCCTTGGGATTGGAGTTTGTCAGAACGGGGGGGTCCCTCAAAACTGGGGATCAGGAACAGGGGTCCCTTGGGATGGATTGGGGCCCCGCAGGGACGGGAGCTTTGTGTGAGTGGGGTCCCTGGAGATTGGGGTTCCTCAAGACTGGGGTCCCTCGAAATTGGGGGGCCCTCAGGAACAGGGTTTTTTGTGACCTTGGAATCAGGGTTCCTTCAAGATTGAGGGACCCCTTTGGGATTGGGGTCCCTCAGAATTGGGGGGCCCCTCAGGAACGGGGTTTTTTGTGACTGGTGTCTCTTAGAATCAGGATTCCCTCAAGATTGAGGGACACCTTTGGGATTGGGGTCCCTCAGAACTGGGGCTCTCAGAGCTGGGGGTCCCAGTGGCTGCTGTGGGTCATGGGGTGCTGGGGTGGAACAGGGGGTCCTCACCCGCCCCATCCCTTGGGAACGGGGGATCCCTTGGGATTGGAGTTTGTCAGAACGGGGGTGGGGGGGGGTCCCTCAAAACTGGGGATCAGGAACAGGGGTCCCTTGGGATGGATTGGGGCCCCTCAGGGACGGGAGTTTCTGGAGATTGGGGTTCCTCAAGACTGGGGTCCCTCAGGAACGGGGTTTTTGTGACTGGCGTCTCTTGGGATCAGGGTTCCCTCAAGACTGAGGGACACCTTTGGGATTGGGGTCCCTCAGGACTGGGGCTCTCAGAGCTGGGGGTCCCTCGGGATGGGACCTGGTGGCTGCTGTGGGTCAGGGGGTGCTGGGGTGGAGCAGGGGGTCCTCACTCGCCCCATCCCTTGGGAACGGGGGATCCCTTGGGATTGGAGTTTGTTAGAACGGGGGGGACCCTCAAAACTGGGGATCAGGAACAGGGGTCCCTTGGGATGCACTGGGGCCCCTCAGGGACGGGAGTTTCTGGTGATTGGGGTCCCTGGAGATTGGGGTTCCTCAAGACTGGGGTCCCTCGGAATGGGGGATTTTTGTGACTGGTGTCTCTTGGAATCAGGGTTCCCTCAAGATTGAGGGACACCTTTGGGATTGGGGTCCCTCAGGACTGGGGCTGTCGGAGCTGGGGGTCCCTGGGGATGGGGCTCTCACCTTCAGGAAGGAAGAGGACGGGAAGGTGCCGAAGGTGGTGGAGACGCCGGCGCCCGGCTGCTGCTGAACCATCTCCCGCAGCGTGTCGTCCTGGGGGGCACAGCAAGGTCACCCCAAAATCCACCCCGTGGGGACCCTTGTCACCCCCCAGAGCCCCTCACCCACCCTGGGCAGAAACCAGAGGGGTCAAACCCGACTGTTTTGGGAGGAGAAGGGGAATGGGACTGGGCAGCACCTTGTCCCCTCGCTGCCACCAGGTGCCACCAGCCCTGGTGGGCTGGAGGGCAGGGCTGGGGGCCACCAGGTCCCCCACGCTGGAGAAGACCCCTCCTCACCTTCAGGGCGTCGATGGAGTTCTTGAGGGCGCAGAGCCGGGCTGTCTGCTCCAGCAGCCGCGCTGACGAGCTCCTCGCTGCGGACAACGGGAAAGGAGGGATGGGAGTGGGGGGCACGGACACACCGAGCAGCTGTGACCCCCTCAGGCTGGCACCGGGTGGGTTTGGGGGATTTTTACCCCCTCAGGCTGGCACCAGGTGGGTTTTGGGGGATTTTTACCTCCTCAGGTTGGTACCAGCTGGATTTTGGGGGATTTTATCTTCTCAGGTTGGTAAGAGCTGGGTTTTGGGGTATTTGATCTCCTCAGGTTGGTAAGAGCTGGGTTTTGGGGGATTTTTACCTCCTCAGGCTGGTACCAGCTGGGTTTTGGGGGATTTTTACCTCCTCAGGTTGGTACCAGCTGGGTTTTGGGGGATTTTATCTTCTCAGGCTGGTACCAGCTGGGTTTTAGGGGATTTGATCTCCTCAGATTGGTAAGAGCTGGGTTTTGGGGGATTTTTACCTCCTCAGGTTGGTACCAGGTGGATTTTGGGAGGTTTGATCTCCTCAGGCTGGTACCTGGTGGGTTTTGGGGGATTTTTGCCTCCTCAGGTTGATACTGGGTGGGTTTTGGGGGATTTTTACCTCCTCAGGTTGGTACCAGCTGTATTTTGGGGGGTTTGACCCCCTTGGATTAGTACCAGGGGGGTTTCAGGGGTTTGAGGAGCTCTGGAGCAGCTCAGCTCCGGGACACTGAGCCACATCCCCAACACACCGATGGCCCTGAGGGGGACAGGGATGGGCACTGTGGGGACACAGAGCTGTCCCTCTCAACCCCAAACTTGCCAGCAGAGCAGCGAGCCCTGCTCCAGGTGCCACGCACGGCTGCCAGTCCCTCTGTGGGCAGCAGGAGAACACCCCAAAATCCCAAGAAACATTTGTAGGACTTACTGGACTTGCTCTGCCTCATGTCCAGCACCTTGGCGTTGGCGCTGAGCTGGTAGAGGGTCTCCAGGAGCTGCGTGGTCTTGCGGTAGAGGCTCTGCGTGGGCAGCCCCTCGGGCGGCCGCTCCCGCGCCACGGCCACGCGGGGCACCTGCAGCGGGGCCAGGCTGGCCAGCTCCATCCTCATCTGGGCACCCTGGGGTGCACGGAAAGCCCAGTGAGGGATGTAGGAACGGGGAAAAGCGGGTGGGAAATGGGTGAAGAGAAAAGCAGGGGTGGGAGCAGGGACAGCCCCCACGGGGCTGGTTGGATTTGGGAGCTGGTAATGAGCTGCTCTGTCCAGTCCGTGAATTAATATTCATGAGAATGGTTGGTTAATTGGATTGTCTGCTGCTGTGCACCTTGGGGTGGTTCATTAATCAATCAAGCAAGCAATGAATCAATTAGGTTGTGCCAGTGGCATCTGCAGCACCCCCAGTTCCACCAGCATTCCCAGCCCGCAGTGCTGACCCTGCTCTCAGCCCCTTCTCCTGGAGCACTCCGGATGGGAGCGGGTTCTCCAGCTCATCCCATATCCCACAGGGATCCCACGCCATGGGATCAAATCCCACAGGGATCACATCCTGCAGGGATCCCATCCCATGGGGATCACATCCTAACCAGATCCCATCCCACAGGGGTCACATCCCACGGGGATCACATCCCATCCCACAGGGATCCCATCCCAACCAGATCCCATCCCACAGGGATCCCATCCCATCCCACAGGGATCATATCCCACATGGATCCCATCCCACATGGATCCCATCCCACAGGGATCCCATCCCATGGAGATCCCATCCCACATAGATCCCATCCTACATGGATCCCATCCCACATGGATCCCATCCCACGGGGATCCCACCCCACTCCCCCCCGACCTTGAGCAGGTTGTTCTCGTTCTTGAGGTGTTTCAGGGAGAGCTGCAGGGCGTCGATCTGCTGCAGCAGGAGGGGCGAATCCTTCACCTGCACGGGGCCGGAGCCGCCTCCCGGCACCTGCGCGGCACCAACGCCTGCGGGGGGCGCTGCCATCAGCGCTGCCACCCCTGATGTGGCACCTCCCAGTGCTCCTTCCCAAGGCTCTCCAGCTGCGGGTCACCCCTCTCCACATCCATCACGGTTCCATGCTCATCCCTCCCTTCCCAACCCCGCTGGAGCCACCAGGGCTGGCAGCATCCGAGCAGGACCCGGATCCTTCCCGGAGCTGTGTCCCAGGGTTTGGGTGTCCTGGGATCTCACCTCCCCCCCTGCCCTGTGCCTGCATGCAGGGTGTGTCCATACCTCGCTGCTGTTCCTCTGCAGCACAGGGAGAGGGGCCGGGAGAGACAAGAAAAATCAGGATTAAAGCCCCGGATTGGGCTGGAGCAGTTCTGGGCTCCTACTGCCACATCTGGGGCTGAGCCCATTCCCAGCAGCTGGGAGTGACCCAAGCAGGGTCCCTGCAATGCTCCCCTAGAGCCAGGGGCTGCTCCTGCTCCTTTGGGAACCAGAATGTGCCGCAACATTCCTGGCAGCGGCACTGGGAATGTGGGAGAGGCAGGAGCTGCTGTGGGAGGAGCACCATTCCCAAATTCCGGGTCACACCCCAGCCCCGTCCCTCACCTCCGGCGATGCCGGACACGATGGAGGCCACGCCCGAGGCCGGCGCCCCCCGCAGCCCCTCGATGGTTCTCTTGGACTGGTTGTTGAGGCGCTGCTTCAGCTCCACCTTCTCCGACTCCAGCTGGTCAATGTCAGCCTGGAGAGCGTCCATGGTCTCCTCAAACTCCCTGGGGAGAGCACATAGAGGGATGTGTGAGGATGCTGCTTGTCCAGGACCCCTTATCCTGTCCCTCCATCCCTTGTTCCCAGTCCCTCTCCAGCTCTCCTGGAGCCCCTTTAGCTCTGGAGTCTTCCCTTCTCCAAGTGGACATTCCCAGCTGTCCCAGCCTAGCTCCAAGGAGAGGGAATCCAGCTCTTGGAGCAGCTCCGTGCCTTCCTCTGGACGAGCTCCACACCCCCAGCCCCATCCCAAACTCACTTCTCCTTCTTTTTGAGCAGGGTCTGGGTCTCATCCAGCTTGGTCTGGATCTTCTCCACGCGGTCATCGGCGTCCTTGGAGGCGCTGTCCAGCTTCTTCTCCAGCAGGCTGAGCCGCACGTTGGCCTCGCTGAGCTCCTCGCCCTGGGGCAGCAGGGAGGGAATCAGGGAGCTGGGGGAGCCCCCAAATCACCAGCACCCACAGCTGGAACCCAGAACAACTCCCCAAATCACCAGCACCCACAGCTGGAACCCAGAACAACTCCCAGCTCCCACCCTGTGCACCCCAGAACATGGTGGGGGCAAGATCTGGATGGCAGCACCTCCCTGCCCATGGGAAAAACATCCCCAGGAGATCTGGGTGGGGCTTGGGATCAGCATCTCCATAGGTAGGAAGTCACCTGGAGTGTGGAGGTGAATGCCACAGCAGCCAGGAAGGCAGGGATGGGTGAGGGACAGGCAGGGATGGGTGAGGGACAGGCAGGGATGGGTGAGGGACAAGCAGGGATGGGTGAGGGACAGGCAGGGATGGAGAGGGACAGGCAGGGATGGGTGAGGGACAGGCAGGGATGGTGAGGGACAGGCAGGGATGGTGAGGGACAGGCAGGGATGGGTGAGGGACAGGCAGGGATGGATGTGGAGGAGCCAGGAAGGCAGGGATCAGTGAGGAACACCTCACCTTGATCTTGAGGGACTTCTTCAGCTCCTTGATGACCGTCTCCCTGTCCTCCAGCTTCAGCCCCAGACCCTCTGCATCCGTGATCTCCGCCCGGAGCGCGGCCGCCCGGAGCTCTGCTGGCGGCGTGGGCTGGACCAGTGGGACAATTGGGATTTTAGGAAGAATCACAGACACCAGAGCTGCCCAGTGCTGGTCACCCACAGTCTCCTGGTGACCATGGGTGGTGAGAGAAGAGAGCCCAACCCACCTTGTTCTGCGGGCGGTCGGCGTCGTACTCGCCCTCCTGCATGGCCGTGGCCATCTTGTTCATGGTGGCCATGAGGATGCTGCAGGACTGGCGCAGGCACTCGTAGGGGTTGATGCCCTGGGAGCCATAAATCTGGGAAGGACAAGGAGGACCTGGGTGGTGGCCCTGGGCTGGGCTCACAGCCCCTGACCCACATCCCACAACCGGCGTTTCCCTCTGATGGTTAAAGATGTTCCTCTGATATTTAAAGATGTTCCTCTGATGGTTAAGGATGTTCCCCTGATGTTTAAGGGTGTCCCACTGATGTTTAAGATGTTCCTCTGATATTTAAAGATATTCCTCTGATATTTAAGGGTGTCCCTCTGATGTTTAAGGGTGTCCCACTGATGTTTAAGATGTTCCTCTGACATTTAAAGATGGTTAAGGATGTTCCCCTGATATTTAAAGATGTTCCTCTGATATTTAAGGATGTTCCTCTGATATTTAAGGGTGTCCCACTGATATTTAAGGGTGTCCCACTGATGTTTAAGATGTTCCTCTGACATTTAAAGATGTTCCTCTGATGGTTAAGGATGTTCCCCTGATATTTAAAGATGTTCCTCTGATATTTAAGGGTGTCCCTCTGATGTTTAAGATGTTCCTCTGATGGTTAAGGATGTTCCTCTGATATTTAAGAATGTCCCTCTGATGTTTAAGGGCATCCCTCTGATGTTTAAAATGTCCCACTGATGTTTAAGATGTTCCTCTGATTTTTAAGGATGTCCCTTTGGTGTTTAAGAATCATCCTTAAAACCCACAT